TTATTAGCATTTTTATATTCAACATTTATATATAATATTTTAACATTTTTATCATCTATAAATATTATAAATAATAATGAGATAAAAATCTGCATCTCACATTAAATCTCAATATTTTGTTTATAATAATATGCTAACAATGTTAATCAATTTCTTCCAATTTATTTATACTAAATCATAACAACAATTTCTGCAAATGTATATTTATGCTTTACTCTCAAACTATCTTTCACTATCATTAAACAATATCTTTAGATTTTGCACTAAGTTAAAAATTGATACTTGGAGTTATAAATGAATACAAAGATTATATTTTATATCTTATATTTAATGTTTATTAAATCACTTTTACATAACATTGTTTTTTTATTACATACTATCTTGTTATGGTCTAAAATATCCAAACATCAAGCTTCAATTAAAGAGTTGACACATAAACATGAGGCAAAGACTACAATCTTATATTTGATTATTAATTGTTTTACATGTTCATATTATTTTTTTTATTGTTACTGATTAAATTTGGGAGGGTGTGTTACTTTTAAACATAATTTCTTGAATTTTTATGAAAAAAAAGGATAATGATTTTGAATGTAACTCACACCCTTATTATATTAAAAATGTTGAAAAGCCCAAATTGCCAAAATAGTTCAAGCTTTGAGAAACAGTTTGGGCCAGAAACCTTACTTGATTGTCAATAAAGTGTCTTGTTGGTAAAGTGTCTTGTTGGTAAAGTGTCTTGTTGGTAAAGTGTCCTGTTGGTAAAGTGTCCTGTTGGTAAAGTGGTTGTCAGTAAAGTGTCCTGTTGGTAAAGTGGTTGTCAATAAAAGTGTCTGGGTCTGATTACAATGTTCTAATTAAAATAATACAAATACAATTTCAATACTCTTTAACTTCCTAATCTCAAAATGCAATTGTTTTTCTTTACAAATATCCTCTAAAATTTCATGCTTCTTTTGCTATAAATCTCTGATAATGGTTCCTATTACCCCAATCATGCTTTTCTCAGCAGATACTCTTTTGTTATCTGCCTGAGTTGAGAACATCCAAATATCTTTAACTTCTTCCTTTTTATACCTTCAGCTCAGCTTCTACTGTCCCTGACTAGGTTTCCTCTAATTGTAGGCTTTTACCTACTGCTAGCATGCAATCCGAGTTACTTACTTATTAGATAGTCCTTATGTTTGGCACACAGTTGGTTTTACTTTGTCTCTGAACTATAGTCTATAATCCTACCTATTGACACTAAGTCTAAATATCAACATACAACTGGTCTTACTTTGCTTCCAAATTATAGTTGATTTCCTATATTACAACACCAAGCCTGGATAGGTTATACTTCTTCTATCCTATGACACCAAGTCTAGATAGAAGATCCATAGGTTGTTGTATCTTTTATATTCCAAAGGTGTCCCCTTGGCAATATGTTTAATAATTAAAGGATCCCAACTAATAGTTAAAGGTTGGCCAGACCATTAATCATTAGAAGGACTGGGAATCAACCACACTGGGTTTATTAATTACAGTCAAAGACTATTTATGTATAGGTATATATTTATTATAGTATTATGATAGTTATCAATTGATTGATTGTTATGAACATTATCTCTTTAACTTGGTCTAAAACCAAGTGTATTTATACCTCTTTTGGTGATACAAATAATGTGACTTGTATAACTTCACTAAGTAAATATTTAAATCATATAGGTAACATACTCACCTGCCAAAAATATCTGGAAAAATGTAGATCATGTAAATTTTCATGACATTTTTCATATGTTTTAGGAGAGTGCCTAAAATGACATCATTTCACTCTGATATAAGCTCATACCTGGTAGGGGAAATTTAGTATGAGCACAGAACTTTTGTAATGATTTTTTTTCAGGATGCAAAACTGTTAAGTTTTGTGTTGCTTGAAGTTTTATAACAAGTTGTCATGTTGAAATGGCAGTGATGTGATGAATAGTTTGCCCAATGGAACATGACACATTTTGTATAATCTTGGACGGATGGCCATTACCACCTCTATGTTCAACAGTTCCCAGTTTCTTTTAGTTTTTTCAAGTTGCTCTCAATAGTGCAAAGGGTATGTTTGTTTTTTCATGTATTTCTTTTGGGGAATGGACTCCATTCATCCAAAAATGCAAAATAGCTTTATGTTGTGCTTCCAATTTTATATTTACAAAGTTTAAGTATTAAAGCTAAAGAAAATCAGTATAATGGTATGAATGAAGATCAATTATCATGTAAAAAAATGTATCCAATCATTTTAATTTTTAAAAAGGAGCGATTTTTTTGCAACACAATAATTTTTATTAGTGTCACGTGCAACCAATAAAATTATTCCCTTTATAAATGCAATGGGGTGCACTTATGGAGATTCATTGTAAATAGAATAAAATTTATATATATATTTATATATATATTAATAATGCTATCTATAAATATTTGTAACCTTTACAGAATAGGAATGCTCAAAACCATTTACAGAAAGCAACTATAATATATATCAATAGTTTTTCATTGAGACAATTATTGGATGAGGCTGCCAACAAATTTCAGTTGATTCAAAATGTGCCACAAAAAAGCAGAATTGAGATGAAACAACGAAAACCTAATGTATTCCAACCTGGTAGTGGAGGCTGTTATCTACTAATTTTGATTTTTTGTCACAATCTGATCTGATTTGGTATGTTAGTATTGTTGGTTTTTTTTATTTTAACCAATCAGATTCTCATTTATTAATTATCTTCATCTTTTAATGATGATGTTGTAAAAAATGTGAGCAGTATTTTGATAATAGAATTTTATTTTATTTATTATTTTTATTAAAAATTACAATTTAATCTGATTTTATATGATTTGTATTTTTATCATTACCATTAAAATTTGATAATTTAGATGTTAATGCTGATAAACTAAATTTAGACTGAATAAAAAAAAAATTTAATTTAGAAAATAAATAAATAATTGATTAATTGATTAATTCACTTAATAACATAAACTTACTTCATCATTTTTAGTACGTGGTGCAGCCCATTCCAACATAAACATTAATAAACTGGAAATCAAATAAATTTCATGAGAAATATCATGGGTTGATGTAGTATAATATAATGTTGTAAGTGTTGTTGTTCCCCATAAGACTGATAGTGGAATTGCAGGTTTAACAATTCCCATATTTTCAAAATGATAAATAACTACTGTGATCAACTAATTTTTTTTTGTAAAAAGAAATAAGTTAATTAATAATTGTATATATATTTTTTTTTCTATATATATATATTTGTTTTTGTAAATAACGATAAAATCCCAGAATCTCACAATGACGGTTAATAAAGCTCCTGTTACAAAAGTTTCAGCTTTTGGATGATTAAAAATATATTCTGCGATATATTTAATACTGAATATTACTGCTAAGCTGTTTAATAATAACTAATAATAATAATATTGTTATTATTAATAATTTATATAATTTTTGCTTTTTCATTAATTAATTAAAGATCTTAAATATTAATAAAATACCAATTTGGCTTTCGTCGATGGTGATTCATCAGCTGGTTCTGGTGCGACATACCAATTACCTCTATTATTTCTCTGTTTAAATGTATAAACTACACTTGGAAAAACTGTATATATTACAAGAAATGCTGGTATTGCTCCTGCGATTCTACGTTTATATAATAATATTATGATATAATTTTATATAATTTTAATAATCACCACCAATACTAATTATTACAATTACTTACATATCAGTAGTGCTAAGAGAATCAAAGAAATCAGCCTACAAAGAAACAAATTAAACAAATTAAAAGGAAAATCAAAAAAAAGTTGTTATTGAGAAAATAAATCATATTCACCCAATCTTCAGGTAACCAGGATGTCAGATTCATTTTTTATGTTTTGGTTTTTGTTTTGTAAAAAAAGTGAGGTTTTTTAAAATTATGCTTGAAACAAAATATATTAGATTTTCATGTGAATGAATTACTTATATTGGACATTCATATAAATATTAAATAATACTGCGTAATTATCTAGCAATCATGCGAAAATATGATATAATATCTCGTCCATCCATTTTCATTTTAATTCAATAATAATAACCTTCATATAATATTAATAGATTGTTTGCACATGTTCCAGCCTTGATTGATACATCATATATACATCATAAAGAAAGACATTGCTTAAATAAACAAAAATTTCATAATATTACACATTCAAGACTCTATTAAAATTGATGTTTTAATGCATTAAAAGTTTTGTACAATTATAGGCTTGAGTTTAACTATTTGATTTGAAATTTCTCCTAATGCAAAAATTTTTCCGGAAGATAAATTTCAATTTTCTCAATTGTATCTATTTATTTTTTATTCTTCTATCTTTACTCTGAAGGGATTTATTGAAAGCATTACTAAAATCATAATTAAACACATCACCTTTTAAACAAACCAACCATCATTAATTCATCATTGTTCATTGCATTATTTGATTTACTAAAACCACATTCACAATCTACATAGAAAAGGGAATTAATTGAATGCACTATTTCCATAAGTTTTAAAATATTTGCACAACTACATTATCATACAATAAAAGGAAGTAAATCATGGACATACTGAAGTCAAGATATCCGATTCATTATCATTTCATCATCCAAAATTTCAGATATTTGTGACCTTGACTGTTCCTTCTAAAATGCTAAAACAATGACATTATATATTATTATTAGCTTATATATTTTATTTTAACAAATACATTTAAATTATTACTGCAACTTACAAATTCAGAAAAGGAAGTAATTCGAGTTATCTAAATCCGACCACAATAGCCACTAATTAACAATTTCATGGTATTGTATTAATAATGAATCGGATGAATTAGCCAAAGTAACAAAAAAATAGTAATAATAGTTTTAACATCACGAATTATGACAACGTGGAAATTTAGCGCACGAATGAATCATAAATATATAATGAAATTTAAATTCCAAAAAGTTAATATTCCTCTTCAGGAATACTTGCTAATATAGAAAGTATTGGTAAATCATCTCTTCCTTCTTTCCACCAAATAAGTGGATTAATATTGTCAGTTATATTAACCATATTTAAATATTTTGCTAATTCATCCTCATTTTCTGTGAATTATTTTGAAACAAACATCCTGTTTAATATAAATTGCTTTCTCACTATTCCTTAAATATGTACAATGTGTACACGTCCTGGATAGAGGTGTGATTGTACTGTCTTGCAAATTCTATGAATAGTGTGTCAAGCAAGCGTCAGTCTGAACTTTTTATGGAGGATGTGTTAAAATTATGTCCGATTTGCACAGAAATTTGTTTGAGAAAATAAAATCTCTATGATATTGGTTTGTTGAATAGAGATTACCAAAGACTATACAAAAACGGGGTTTTCCAGTTATATCACAATGTCTATTCATACTCCAGAACCTGGCATCTTAGATTGTCAGATGGTTTAATTAACGACTTTATTTTATATTTATCTATCTACATTTAATAACTTGAAAATAAAATAAATAATAGAAAATTATTTAGAAAATAATTTTATTTGGAGAATTGTTTTTCAGTTACACCTTTACCCATAGCAGATGTAGAAGAAACACCGCCTTGTACAATTTTCACTGTTAATAAAAAAAATTATTTAATTATTTTAGTTTTTAATCATAATAATAATGATGATGATGATGATGATGATGATGATGATGATGATGATAGTAAAATAATAAATGAAGCTTACTAAGTGAATCAACATAATTTGCTCCAGACCAAGTTTGATGTTGTAATGTTTCAACACCATTCATACGTTCTTGACGTTGAATATCTTGAACATATGCCAACATACCTATCTCAGCATATTTACGTGCAAATAAATCTGGATTTATAATAATTAATTGGTTGGTTAAAAAATTTTTTTTTTAAAAAAATAGTTTATCTATTTATTAAAATCATAATCAAGAGCTACTTACCAATACCCAATGCATTAGAATGGAAACCACCTAATGTAATAAATTGCCATACAAAACCAAGTTTACCAAGATCAGATATAAAACTACGAATTTGTTGATCAGTCATTCCAGCAGCATCCCCTAAAAACAAATCAAACAAAATAAATAAATAATAAATAAATAGTAATGATAACAATAATAATATTTAGATGATTTTTTAACTTACAATTGAAGGAAGGACTGAGATTATATGCTAACATTTTTT